AAAGTTCATTTTAGAATTTTATCATTAGAAAATGTTGAAATGTTGTAATAAAACAAGTATTAATTTATAAAACTAAATCCCAAAAAAATTATTAATAATAAATTATTACTTTGTTTGCTAAAAAAAAAGGTAAAAATTTTTAGGGTGACAAAAAAAGTTGAACCACAAAATTTATACAATTAATAAAGATTGATTTGTACGTACTAACAAACATTTAGGTCGCCTTTACTTCTTATAGATTCGTGTGACCACAAAAAAAAAAAAAAAAAAAAAAAAAAGTGGGGGAGATAACAATTATGGTCATACATTATCTTAATTTTGAAAAAGTGACTCAACAATTTAGTCTAGTATTCGTAATTATCTTAACTGTAAATTATACAATTTGGTTGGTCTAATCATTAGACCAACATATTTATACAAAATATGCATATTATTACTTAAAAAAATGTCATACTTTAAAAGTGACATACATACAAGTATGACATTTGATTGTATAAATCGACCCAGGTAACGATTAAACTGACTCACCCAAAAATTATGTATTTATCCTAATAAGATTAAGTCAATTGTTTTTAAAGGGAAACATATTAATCAACATATGCATTTTGATTTCTTCACGCTACAGAAAAACTTTTTACATTCCAACGGAAATTTTCAGTTGGAATTCTTTATATATCCGTTGGAATAGATATTCCAACGGATATTCCTACGTATAAAAATTCGTGGGAAAAACGGCTGTTGGAATAGCTAAAATCCAACAGAAAATCCTATGGAAAAAAATTCCTACAGCTATTCCAACGGAAAAAATCCGTTGGAATTCCTCAACCATCCAACACTTTTTCTAACATAAAATTAAGTTTGTTGGAATATTCATTGAAATTTCCAACGGAAATTTTTGACGTTGGAATTTTTCGTTGGAATTGAAGTGTTTTCTTGTAGTGTCAATTTTAATAAGTTTAATTGTTAAAAATTGGAATTATGGATTTTTTTGTCTAATCCTACATATATCTCTATGTAGGCAATGTGTGACTCGGCGAACAACGAATTGATTTTTTGATGATAATATTTATTGAATTAATAGCTTTTTTAATTGATTATGTAGAATGTTTAATAATTAATTATTAATTAGTTTCTAAAAATACTATACTTATAGCTTTTATTCTAAAAAACTCATGTATTAATTTTATTTATTTATTTATTTTTTTTTCCTAAATCGCCTTTTGAGAATCATGATGCTATTTCGCACCGCGTACTCACTAAACAATTAAATTGAAGAGTGACATGTTAAATTTGTAAATATTATGAAATTTCTACCACAAGCTCGACCAGATCACTCCCTTTTCCCCAAAATTTCGACGAAACAGTAAACCCCAACCCTTTTTCCCAATATTTCGTCTCGCGAGCCTCCTCTTCGGCGGTCCCCCGCCCTCAATGATGCTGACGAACTCCTAGTTTTGTCCAAGTCCTTCGTCGTAGATCCGGCTGCTTTTCGGCCTCTCTCTCCGCGGCGTGGATTCCACCCCTCTGGTTTGCCATGGCAGGAGTTTGAGGGTTGGAAGGTCTGGTTCTTTTGTAGTGGCGGTCGTTGCTGGCGGCCTTACGGCGGTTGGGGTGATGGCCTGAACTTGGGATCCCCTTATTCGACCTTACTTTGGTGTTGGGAAAGTCGTTTTCCTCTGAAGGCGACCGTACTAGTGCCTTGGTGTTGGAGTGCGCCTGGGGGGTCGAGGTGCGGCCTGGTTGGGTCACTTTCGAGGTTGCTGATGGTGGTTGTGCTGAGCGGCTTTCCCTCGATAGATCTCGGTTGGAGTTGGTGCGGGTTGTGGAGGTGCTAGGTATTCGTGGTTGGAGGGGAGGGTTTTAGTCTAGTATGTAGGTTATAGTCTGTGTTTAGATTTGTGTGCTTGTTTTGTTTTGTGTTAGTTTATTTACTCCCATGTGGGAGTTCATTTTCTCACTTGTGGGAGTTCTTTGTTACATTGTTGCTAGTTTGGTTAGTTTTGGTTTAGGCTCTTAGGCTATAGTTGTCTCCACTCGTAGGCTTCTATGTTCAACCATGTGGTTGCTTTTTTCGGCCATTTTGGTCGTTTGTAATTTTCATGTTTTATTAATACAATCAACCGTTTCGACAAAAAAAAAAAACATAGTTAAATAATATTAATAATAATAATAATAATAATAATAATAATAATAATAATAATAATAATAATAATAATAATAATAATAATAATAAGTTCAAATATTATGAAATTTCTATTGATGATGTTTATTTAAACACTAAATAAAAGTAAAAAAAATTGTAACATAATAATTAAAATAATGTTTGGTAGGTACACTATCAAGCCGGCAAATTCGATCCTACCCTCATGGGGTTTTAGCACTTATTTACACACAATCACACACACCCACATAAATGTGTGAAATATGTGGCTTAAAACCCCATGAAAGCACTACCCTCATGGGTAGGATCGAATTTTCCCTCTCAAGCCACCATAATATAATGGCGAAGTTATAAGAATACATTTAATTTAATTTGTTCATAATAAAGCTGCTGATTGCCCGACATATAACTGTCATTGTCACCTTTCTTTCCATAAAAGGTCTAATCATACTAATCTCACAATAATAATCAAATTATATATCACTCGGAGCATTTAATCAATATTTACCAATAGAAGATATTGCTATTTCTTACAGTCAAATTATAGGAATGAATAATTAAAAAATTAAATTACAAGATTGGTCCTGCCAGATTTTTTGTTTTAAGATTGTTTGATAATTAACTAGATATTTTGATTCAGTTTTTTAGCCGAGTAACTAATTTTGTAACAAAAATAAAAATTGTTTATCACTGGATCTGACATCCTAAATATTATATTAAATAAATCGACCCGTAATATTTTAAAACTAAAGTGCAATATTATCTTAAGAAAAATCATCACTTTATTTATGTTGTTATTTAAAATTACGACACTTAGATATAAAATTATGCATATTTATTGAAAATTACAATTGTGAAAATGATTAGGCTTGCATATCTCTAGATTCATCAGTGCTTTGTTTATATTAGACGTTGGTTCCATGTGAAGCTAATTTTCTATATACAACAAATAAACCTATCGTTGATTTTTACTATGGAACCAACCGTTGACTTCATAGCAAAACCGAGACATGCTAACTATTAATATTAAACAAGTAGATATATTATACCTTTTTTTAAAATTAATTCGCTGAACCATTATTTTTGTTTATTTGTATTTTTTAAGTCAATTTGATCCTAAAGATTTTGAAGCTAAAGTCAAGTCTCCTGTAGAATGTTTGACCCTAATTGAGAGTTTTTCTTCTCACAAAAGATACATCACAATATTAACAACCTTAATGTTGACAGTTAAATACTCAGAGCATTTGACTTAGCCTAATCTTTTTTTTTTTTTT